CCACCTTGGAATGTAATTGAATAAGATTGCTTTGCAGTGCATTCAGTTTGTGCTTGGAAGTTGGAATATCATGCTGATCAGTGCTGTTTTCATTTTCATAATGGTGGTAAAAATGAACATAGTTGCCTTGTATGAACAATAGAGAATATGGGTGTCCACAAGGGAAGAAAAAAAAAAACACTTGCCTTGGAGATTACATCACTCCTACTTCCCAGTTTTGCTGACATGCGCCATTTCTTCAAGTACAAGTATTGTTGTATAGGTATCGGCTTATATCGGAAATCGGAACTTCAGTGTTCGGAATATCGGGATATAGGATTTCGGCAAAAAAGGCAATATCGTGCATCCCTAGTTTCACCCACTAGTAAAATTCAACTGCTGTTGCAATTTTTCAACCCATAGAGGTACAGTTTGATATAATTTTAGGCCAAATAATGCAGAAACAAAACACATGTGCATAAAAATGTCAAAATTAGACCGTAATATAAAAACAATTTGCTCAAGCCTGGATCTATACCATTTATCTGCAAAAAAAGTTGATTGCGGGGAAGATTAAGGGATCAAACTATCTATGCACTTCACTAAGGCCAGAGGAAGCTGTCCTATCAGCTTGAAAAGGAGAGTATAAACACTAATAAAGAGTACAAGACTACCTCCAAGTAGCTTTATGTTCTTATGGCCATAGTTCCAAATTTAATTTAAAAGTATAAGGTTCATGGGGCTTTAGCTAATCAACTAGAGTGGCCACAAGAAGAAATGCAACCCAGTATGATTAGATGGATAGTGCAGATGATAGAAAAAGACCTACAGAAGCTGTCCAATCCAGATGAACTTCAAGGTTAGGATACATCACTTATTTTATCACACCAAACAAACCATAAAAGGCTTAATAGAAGAAGCCCCAGAAGGGAGCACCTACTTATTGAAAAGTGCATTATTACTAGATTCATCAGTATGAGGTTTTCTATTTAGTGTCATGCATATAGCGATTTTTTTTGTGTGTTTTTATTGATGTGACCTCTACCTTCCACTGAGGTCACATCGTCCAAAACAGAAAAACAAATCCAGGGATCTGGGAACGAAGTATATCACATAGTGTCAGAAGGATCAGACTCACTTACAGGCCATGGGTTATTCAACATCACAGTGACACCAAACATAAAGATAAAAGCACTGAAAACTGGCTGGGGAACAAAGATTTTATACTATGCCATTATAGACGGAGCCATTTTCAGCAGTTAGCTCAGGAGTGGATCAGTCGGAGAAACGTCATAAGATCCATATATCTTTTTAGAATGCTACAAAGATTGCGTGTTGGAGGTGTTTTCTACAAACTCAGAACAACTGTTTCTTTATCTTTATCTTTATCTTTATCACCCATGCTGATTAAGCTGATTATTTATGAGAAATATTTATCCGAGTCAAAAAGATTAAAAGCAACGCCTGTATTCTGTTAAATATGGATTTTACCTTAAGGTACATAATTAATTTTTTGTGGGTGATTGTGCGTTCATTGTCTAAGGTAAACGACCTATTCGCCTATAAATGTTGTAAAAAAAAAAAATTGTGAAAAGTAGATGAAGGGGGATCTTCAGTTCTATGAAAACCTTAATCCTCTTTATCCTCACTCTTGGTTGAGCTGGAACCAATCTAGCTATATTACTCTATCTGACAGAGCGCCTACGGATTCATGGAGCTGATATTCCATTCGCTATGCTGTATACATGGCTGCCAGAGGGGAGTGGTTGTCATTGCTCTCACCTTTCCCAGTCATTACAAGCTCAGTGGTAAAAATCTATTTCTTCAAAGGTACGTTCTCTCTCTGTTTCTCCAGCTCCTCCCTTGGTGTGCCTCTCATCTTTTCCCTCCCCTCCATTTCCCTCATGCCACTCTATTCACAAGGCTTCTCCCTGATAATACTTCAATGTCAAATCCAGTCGGAGGGCTGTAATTCTCAGAGGGATGGGTCTTTGGCAGGCAGCAGGACTGGTGGAACTTCCTGCGCCTGTGAGATAATGCTGCCTCAGAGTGGTGGGAACTTTCACTCCTCTATGGTGTTCTACCAACAGGGACATCAATTTCCCCCTGCTGAAGCTGCAAGACGAGTAACTCCTAAAGTGTGTGTGCTGTATGTGCAGAGGAGATGAGTGTGTTTGCTTTCAAGTTTGCAGAGAGACTGTGCATGGGAGAGTTTGTGCGGCAAATGTCTATATTTACCTCACATGGGGTGCCTGCGTCATCACACACAACAAAGACGCCTTTTTTGGTGGAGGGGGGTACTAGGAGGGGAGGCTGAGCGTTCGGCCACAAAGGGACAATGCAAGGTTTTTTCTAGTAGCCATGGCAACAGAGGAAAGACTGATAAAGGGCTGCCAAGAAAAGCCATGTTGTGATTACAGCATAAAACACTTTCGTTTAATCTTAAATGGCTGTCATTTTCAGTCTCACTGATAGTCCAGAGGTGACGCAGACAAAAAAGGAAGGATTCTGAAATGATTTATCCAAAGTTGGCTCCTGTTGCACGTAATCAGTCGCTGATGTGAGTGAGTGAAGGAGACAGATGTTCTACAGAGGGAATGAGATTTTGCTGTAATTTCTGTATATCTTTTCAAACAGGCTAGTCTGGATGTAAATAAAACAGAACACCTGTTGCTTCAGCTATCTTCACAGTAATGCTGATGCTGCAGGTTCGCACACTTGTGCCACTATGTTACAATGTCAGGCAAAACCACATATGCTGATTCACATTTATCATACGTCAACCACAACTTTTATATGACTTTATTGGTATTTTATGAGATTAACCAGCAATTTTAAGGTGGAATTTAAATGGATTGGGTGTTGGATAGAGAGCGTCTGCAAACTGCAATTTTCAGTGCTTGCAGAGAAATCTTAACTTTTGCTGGGTTATTCTTATGCATAGTAATTACAGATTGGAAAACAAAACAATGGAAGGCGATTCCTCACCTTTGATTATTAAACTAAATAGAATCATTTTGATTAATACCAAAATCACAGTGATTCAAAATTAATAATCCTGTAGTTTCTCGGTTATTTGCTTTTTCATTTTGTTATGCAAAATAGGAAGGGATTACTTTAAATTAGGTGGGTGTTAAGAGGCTACGTTTGGAGAAAAAAATTCTAAACTATATATAATACTGTTCACACTATTTTTTCTTACATTTTTTCCTGTTAAAACTATGTAATCTCCTGAGCCGACAGGCAGAGACTCCTTTGGCTCCTGAGTGCACTCATTGTGGGTTAATACCTTTTGACCACTTCACTGCAAGCATGTTTTATGTATCAAGCTGCGTGTTAAAAAAGAGACAGAGCTGCTAAAAGTGTGAATGTCTGAGTGAGCCCGTGCACATGTAGAGTGTGTTCAAGCTCCCTTTGTACTCACAGGATATTTCTCCAGTGGTTCCATCAGTAATGCGTCTCCAAATATTGACCGGCAGTACTCTGCCATCTTCGCCTGCTGCTTTGGTCTGGGAGTTACACACAAACACACAAGCACAGACAGACAATCATGATTTCTTTGCTAAATGTCAATATGCTGAATATGTATGTTCCTCCCCTGAAATCCCCCTGGAGCTATTAAAGATAGAGCCACCCATCAAGATCTTCCCCTCAGCCCAGTAAGTGACAGCTGACGAATGCTTTCTGCTCATCAAAAAGGTCAAAAATGGTAGCTTCCAACTTGAGACATATTGTCAACTTACGAGTCCACATGGTTTTCGAAGGACAGGATGACAGGGAATGGTGAAGTCTTGAAGGCACACTCTGCAATAGCCTCGATCACTTCCTGAGAAAGAACACAAGAAATACAGAGTGGAGACAAGCTTAAAGAACAAACACAAATACATTAAAAAAACAATGAAATCACTATTTTGAACTGAATAAGTGAAATAATTTTTTATGTCTTAGAATGGTGTCAAACTCAGAGGAAACAGTTTGAGATCAACTGTCTGAACCACCAATCTTCAATATGAATTAGACCACTGTTAGCGACAGTGTCAATTAAAGTATTGCCTATATTTCAATTTGCAAACTTTCTCTTAATAAAATCAACAATCTCGTTATCTGTAGCTCTCCATTTTTAACATTTCACCCTAAATCCATTAGGCTTCTTCTCTTCGTCTTATTAGATAAGAGTTTCCTACAGTATATCAATCAGTTCACTCATTTATTTCTCCTTCCTCTTGACATCTACTCTTCTTTAAGTTTTTAACGCTCTCTTCTATAAAATCAGCTTTTCTTATTATCCTCTCCCCCTCTGAAGACATCAATTAATCGCCCCTCAGCTTTTGTCCTTGGGACGATTCAGTGCATCTGCCTCTCATGAAGTTTGCAGGATGCTTGTCCCAGTTTCTTTGCTTCTTGGTTTTCATCCAACCCTGCCTTTCTGTGTCTTATCTTAACCTAAACAACATTTGCTCATACTGTCAATAATTTATTCCTCTCTTTATAAAACCACAAAACAGAATTCTAATCATAAACAGTAATTATGTTTGGTTATATAGGTGTTTTTTGTGGGGTCAATTTATTGTTTCTACAAAGTATTTTTTGCTGTACAAGATCCAAAAATAATAATAAGGGATTTGAAGGAGTGGATATTACAAAACAAAATGCATTTTTACTAACTCCCTGGACCAATCTACTCTTTCTGGTACCCTTCCCAAATATATGGATAGACACATGTGTTATATTAATTTTTACTATTTTTTTTCATTATTAATATGGAGAACATCACTTTTTTAACAGAAAAAAACGTGAGGCTGTTAAAAAGATTATGATTCTGAGTTATTATTATGAGTATTGTGCATTAAATATATACAACATTATGTAAAAAAGTATTCTCTCCCTTATAGATCAGACCCCAATTCCGTTATAGACACAGTGAAATGTTTCAGATCATAAAGCATTTTTTTTACTATTTGTATTTATTACCTGAGTAGGGTTTTAGAGTAGCATAGCCAAAGTCTGGACTTTAATCTGATTGAGCTTGTGTTTCAGGAAATTGAAAAGCCCATTAATGCTTCAAACTCTTCACTATGGCTGAATTGAAACAGTTTTGCAGAGAGGGGAGGACCAATTTTCCACCGCACTGATGTGAGAGATGCATTGTCAGTTACCATAAACACCGGATATTATTCACAACCTAAAACATTTGAATGTGGATATCTCTTTCACATTGTTTCAAATTGTTTTTTTTTAACTGTCTTAACCTAATTGCCTCCACAAACATTATATTTTTAGGAGAGTTTGTGTGTGTTTTTCTGTCTGTACAGGATAACTTCATAAATTATAAACAGATTTTAATGACATTTTTACAAAAGACATTCCTCGTGTCAAGTAACACTTCATAGTTTTGCAATAATCCAGATCATGTGTGAGTTTTAGCTATAGGTTTAAGTTACAATATGGGGGAAGATTTGCTGCTTGGTGGAGATCTGCGATCTCAGAGTGGTTTTCTAGTTTTAAAAATGCATTTTTAAATGCAAATTCTTTTTTTAAATTATTTGCTTGTGTAAGCAGCCAAGCACTGCACTCCATACAGCAGTGGAGTTTGGGGTAAAAAAGAACAGCATACATGGACAAAACGGTACTTGTTGCTGGGAGACCAGAGGAAGTATAGAGTTTCTAAGACTGCAGTTTGATACAGCATACAGTATATCTGTCAGATGGTCAAAGAAAAGCCCTGAGTTTGTATTTAATAAAGGGGAGGAGGAGGGAGAGAAAGCTGCTGCTAGAGGGATTCAGGTTTATTAAATGCTTTATAAGCTTAACTGAATTTATCCGTATTTATGCTCATTTAGAAACATCGTCAACACAAATGAGTTCTTCCAGCTTTTCAGAATGAGTAAAAACGAATGTTACTCCCTGGTGGCACGATGGGATAAAAATAGAAAACATCCTCAATCTACAGAACCTAGAAATGGACGATCTACAGAACCTAGAAATGGACGACCCTCAATAATGACACAAACAAACTATCAATAGTTTATTGTCTCTACTGCCTCCTGTGTAAATATGCTTTCAGGCAACAGCTTTATAAGCAAAAAATAAAACAAGTCAGTTCATATAAAATTATCAAATGATGGAGAAAATATATCACTTAATAGAAAGAGCTGCAAATGATGAATTAGACGTGGTGAAACATCTGAGGAGGTGATTTGGGGAAGGAAAATCTTGAGGTTTTGTTGATTTTTCTGTTCATCTCTAATCCCTCCATACAGTATGTGCACTCATATGCACAGTTAACACGAGTCTAACGAATCTTGTCCATCGTTAGTGTCTGTTCAGTCTTTTGACTGTTCTACTTAGGGAATTTGCACTGAAGAAAACACTGGACTATAAAATAAAAATGACAATTACAATACTTTATTAAGAGTGGGTAAAGTAAAGAAAGTTTCTCATGTTAGGGATCTAACCCAGCCAAAAGGATTACAGTTTAACTGCATATAAAAGAGAATGAGACTGTTAAAACTCTAAATCCAAAACAAAGAAGAACCGATTTTCGTTGCAATTTCTAGAAAGGAGTAGTTCTTCATGGCTGGGATTCCTGTGATTTCCTACAGGTGGAGAAGTATGACCAGAGCAGCATTCTTCCTCTTCTCCCACAGCTCTCTGCAGGCTGCATTTGGAAGGACATGAATGAGAACCTTGCAATCTTGCTCACCCAGCAAAAAAAAAAAAAATGCATCTTTCCAGAAAACCTTGGATCCAATCTGGTGACTTGTAACCAGACCTAAAATAGGTCTAGCTACCTGAAACTGTCTACCTCAGCTCCTAATTTAACCAAATGGTTTCTAAACATTATTTCATCAAAATAATGTTCCATTTTCCATTCTTACTTGAATTGTGAAATTCCTAGCTTGACCACCTAGCAACTGTTGTTGTTTATTAGTTAAAAGATAATTTAGCCTCATTCCTAATCCCTAAAATAGAAACGTAGGCTCTTAAACATACATATTTACACTAAGCTAGGAAAATCCTACAATCTTTTATTCTAATTTGTTCTTCATTTATATTTGCTCTGGACTGATCATTTCTACAGTTCATAGAAAGTAGTCACTTAAAGACTCAGTTCTCATAAGAGATATGAATTTAACAAGAGTTTATCAACATACATGAGTCTGTAATGGAAAGCGCAGTAGGGGTTCTGGGAACAGCATGAATCCTGCAGCTTAGGACACAAGGCAAAGATTGCTTTCATTCTTGTGAAGGCACCATGAATCAGGAATGATGAAATGGGTGTCCTAAGTTACTGTTACTCTTTTCAAGCATGCCCATTAAATACTTTTTATTTATAAGTTGAAACAACGATTGGTTAAAAGGTTCGCAACATGAATCAAATAAAGCAGAAGTTAAGCTACCAAACTTGGAATTCTGCAACCAACCTAATGACCTACTTGAAAAATCAAATGCTTGATAAAATATAAAATTGGAAATTGATAATTCAAAATAGGTTTCAAGTCACAAAAATGTACCTAATTGAATGCTGTACATGCAACAGAATAGTGTGCTGCAGTTCAAGGTAAGCATAGACATCCCCAAAAGCACACCATCCCCTCAGACATACGATGGAAGCAGAATCATGATCTGGGACGATATTTTTGTTCAGTGGGAAATGGGGATTTGGTCAAGGGGAAACATATACAGTGAAATGGAGAGTCCCTTTCTTGATCAAATTTTATTCAAAAGTAGTGTTGCACCAATGCCATTTTTGGCCCAGATACCCGATACCTGGCTGTGCAGTAAACGGCTGACACCGATACCATACTGATACCATCTGTTTGAAAGTGATGTGTGTGTATATATGAAGAACTGCATCCTACTTGGATGTAAAATAATTGCCATTATGGCTTTGTCAAGCTGCTGCCTACCTTTGTGAAGCAGGAAAAAGACTAATACAAAGTGAGTCTGGTAGAACTTTTTATTGCCTACCTGGAATGGGTGACAGTAGTTATAATAAAGTAGTTATAATAAACTTTTTGCTCTCAAATTTTAGTGCAGCAACGGGGTCCTGCCTGATACTGGTATCGATACAACACTATTTAAAAGTACAGCATATGTGCATCTAAATTCATGGAACTACCTTTGCCAAAATATCTTGCTTATTATATTATAAATTTAGGAAGTATTTCCTTGTCGATTCCAGGTTTTTTCACCTTAATGAAGTGCATATTCCAAGTGAAAAACATACTCATAAGCAAAAGTGCAAAACATGTTTCAGAAACCATGTTCTTCCGCCTATACCCTTTATCTTACCTTAAAGGAGATTTCAGTTGTCATTGTAAAACCATGAGTGATAACAGGTTCTTCTTCTGTGGTGCGTCCTTTCCAGCAGTCCAGTTCAATGCAGCGACACCCAGACAGGAGGACCTGTTTGTACATCTCAACTGAGGAGTTTCCTGCTAGCTGGCCCGCTGCACAACACACACAGTCACACATACAGTTCATTAATCCTTTCACTTGCTAGAAAGCAGTAAAAAAAAAAAAAAAAAAAAAAAAAAAAAAAAAAAAAAAAAAAAAAAAACAACAGTAAAAGTGTCTAATGCAGGCAAATCTCTTTAACTTGTCACCATTAGTGAGGCAATTATCACTTTGCATTAGCAGTTTTCTTTCCCGCAACATTAAAAAGAGCCATGTGAGAGCGAGCGCCTCTCTCTTCATTATGCTGACTATTTTCCACATCTTTTCATAAGCTTTCTTTAACTGTGTTTTTTTTCCCTCCCCCGCTTTTTGGTTAACATCCTACACCAATCAGTAATGTATGTTTGAAAAAAAATATTGTGTTAGTTTTAAACACATGATTAAGGACACCAATCTGTCCTTTTATGGTGTATTTAATTGCTGCCACTTAGAATAGTCAAACTTGTTTCAGTTTGAAAAGAAATAAAGGAGTCTGAGTTAGTGAGAAGAAAACCAAGCACTTCTTGTTTGTTTTTCTCATTTCTCCATTTCGCAGCCTATGAGGTCGAGTCGTTCCAGAAATTCCTTTTTTTTCCTCCACTGCAGGAGAGGTCTGATTCACTTGAAAGATTCAATGCACTCCGATTTTCTCTCAGAATAGATTTGAATAGATGAATTCTAATATTCATTGAGGAGAAAATGGCCCCTGTATTGCAAACCCCCTCAGTTGCACATGCCAGGAAGCAGTTACTGTGACTACCAGTCTGCAGAAATATTTAACTCATGAATGACACTGAAATGAGTCTCATGCCATGACTTGATTGGATAAATTCTTCAGAAGTAATACAGGAAAGGAAGCTTGAGATGCACCATCAGATTTGATTGAGTGACCTGCGAGTTATAAAGTTGAACGTTCCTGCCCGCAGCACTTTAATTTTATTTCTTAATGCATGACTAATCCACTCGTTAGTAGAATAATAAAAGACGCATCTGTGCAATTACACAGAGCCTCTTACTTTTCAACTCCCATCGGTGTGTACGCACCTGTGAGGTATGTGTTGTGTGAGGAGTTGATGAAGTAGTGAGAGAGTGGAAAGGTCATGTCTTCACTCTGGTCCAGCTTCTCCGGGGGAATGATGCTGTTTTCTTCTCCGTTCAGATATCGTGTAAAGCCCTCCATCGAGATCTGACCTGCATGAATATGACACATTTGAAGCATTCAGGCATCTTTTTCATTTGAATATCTCATAAACATTTCAGCATGCAAACCCCAAAACAACAGGGCCAGAGGCTGTAGACCAGCTAAAAATACGTATATTTATTTCAGTCAGTGTTTAATCAACAAGAATATTTAATAATTAAATATATTTTTATTAAATTAATATCTAGAATGAAATAATGAGAAATAAATAATGTATTTTTCCACAAATTACTTGATTGTTTTATGCATTAACTTAAAAGGTATATTTAATAATGTATTGGGACATTTCATTATTTTATTGTTAAGTTAATAATTAATGGTATATTTAATAACATAATAATGCATTAAATTAATGGTACATATAATTATTTAATGGGACATTTAGCAGTGCTAATTTATTTATTTAATAGTATATTATTCCACAAGAGATGCATCTATAATTTGCAGGATGGTAGCTTTCAAGGAATGGAACGTGCATCAGATAAATAACCTGTAGTGAGATATCACTATTCACACTCTGGTTCTGCAGATGAAGAAAGATAGAAACAATTTTATCTAATTTCATTGACTGCCTACTTATTGCCTCCCACACCATAGGAAGAACTTAGGACGTTACCACTGCTATGAATAAAAAGTTTCTCATAATCTCAAATGTGAGGAATAGCCTCTGTGTTCAGGATGTAAATGTATTTTTCAGTGTTTTAAGCTCAAACCAACACTGTTAGAGTTAATAATGAATGATACAAGGATCTGACACAGAGAAGCTCCCACTGTCTGTTCTTTTTTTTGGGTTTGAGTCACTGTGAAAGACTGCTTTCTTTGCCATCATTGAAGTAAAAAAAAGTACATCAAAGAGAATCAGAGAGAAACTGAAGAAAGAGCTCTAGTCATCCATAAGAAAGACTGTGATCCGTGACTTTGTGACCACAAACACCAGACACAAGACCTGCACTGATTCAGTTCTGAATTCAAAGCAAAACTTCCACCTACACACTTACTCTCCCATAACGTTATCCTAAATATGCTAAGTAATGCAAGTTTGATGGGTGCAGCAGGTCCCTCCGGCCACTTTATGCTAATTAATGCGGTACCGCCCTCTGCAGACTGGCTGAGCTAATTAACACTGGTTGTGTTGCGTGACATCTGAGCTCGGCTGCACTCGGTGTCTCACTCCCCTGTCGGCTGTCAGGATTGTCTCTGCGTGAGTTTGAGGTCTGACCTGCACATCACACAGACAGTCTCAGTCAAAGGGTTTCCTCAGCTCTCAAGGCATTTGTAGGCTACAACGTGGGAAGAAAAAAATGTTGATATAGCAGGGATCACATCTTTTGCGAGACACTACAGGGGTTACTGTACACCAAAGGTGAGACATAAAAGTGAAACTACACCCAGGTGGGAAGTATACTGCTATTAGGATGTGTCCTTACTGTAAAATGACCTAAAAACATGCCTTTGAATGGGTGAAAATACTGTATAACGGTGTGCTATTCATCCTCCTTGAATGGAAAATATTCTACCAGCGTCTTTTCATTCAGCATTTTAATCATAGCGTTTGAGCAAACACAGACTATAGAAGCACAGATCACTGACAGAGCACTGAACAGATGAATGAAGGATGTAATGTTTAAAAACTCAATCATCAGTTTTACAGGCAATGGAGAAAACAATAAAGTATCTACAATAAAAATACACAACTTTATACAATGCCTTACAAATATATTCATCCTATCAAAGTGTCTGTAGAAATAAAGATGAGAAAAGTGTGGATCCTTTGAGCAGGGGAAACAACAGCAATAGATAGTGATCAAATTGGGAAAATGCGTACAGTATGGCAGGGTTAGGTTGTAAAACAATATTCCAAGCTATTAATATCTAAGAGAGCACTGAAAATAGAAAGCATATGACACCACTGTAAATCTACCAGGACATGGTCGACCCCCAGAGAAAGAGTTAGGGACTCATACTAACTGTACAGCACAGCAGATGCCAATCTTCACATCTCAGGTGGGATAATAAAACGAGAATAACACCGAACTTTTTAATCTAAATGATGCGTAATGTGAGTCAGCAAACTAAAATTGTAATAATGCTGCAGCCTGAGAGCATCAACCTCATCGTCACCATCCAGACATGGTAATGGCAGCATCATGCTTCATAGGAACACTTTACTTTAGCTTCAAATCTAAATGTTTATAACATATATTTAAAAAAAAAAAAATGCTTTTTTACTGTACATATCATAAACAGCTGTAACCAAACAAATGCTTGGAGTGTGATAACACCATTCTGGCGAGTCCATTACAGTGCATATGAAGGCGGAGCTCTGGAGTCCGTCTGCAGGGCAGATGGCAGCACCTCCTCCGGCTAGATAAATACTTCAAAAGGGTAAATCTGTCACTAGGACAGTGAAGGGCATGATTTCAGAGTGCGGGACAGGACATACACAAAGCATCAGTGAGGGAGCAGATCACTGTGATCACATTCAATTTCTGAGCAACGAAGCTGCAAATGCAACTCTAGTTTAAAAATCATTTTCCATAATCTCAGCACCCATGAGCTTTTGTGTTGAAATAAATGTAAAGTAGGTACTTTACTTTGAAGAGATTATTAAAATCACACCTAATTCTCTGCTTCTGACAATTAGGGCTCATTTATATTCAGTGAAATCCAGAACAGAACGTGCACATTAGATTAACATAATGATGAAACAGTGAAGAGATTTTTAGATAAACAGCCTCTTCTGGATAGATTAGCATTTTTAACTGCAAACACCACACATCAAAGGCCTAAAAATAAAATTGTTTGCTTTTCAGTTATAATTGAAAAAGTTTCCTAAATGTAGAATCTTTAGGTTAAGAAATGAAGTGCTCTGTCAAGCGAGATAGATCAAGATGCATAATCCACAAAATAATTTCACTTATTAGCTTCTTGTGTCTTCAGGGGAAACGGACAGTAAGAAATTCCAGCACATAATTAAACTACATACAGTATTTATCATGAATTAAAATGTTTTGATCTACAGTATGTAAAAAAACTAAGATGATTTGTTCGACAATAAACAAAACATGATGTGAAGTAAGTCCCGTTTTGGAACAGTTATGCAGCATGGTTTCCAGCAGAGATAAATTTGAATTGGCACTCTACCGAGCTTGTTGCCTGATATCTGGGGTGGGATGTTCTTCAGTTCTGGCAGCGACTGGTCCACTGACACCTCAAAGGACATGAAAGCACAGCATGTCCATGAATGTTGGATCCCCTACCCTCATCCGCCTCAGCCCTTCATGATTCATTCTGCTCCTGATGTTTTAATTCTAACACCTATGCTGCTTGCTTTAAAAGAAAAACACACTATTCATAAGTAAGAAAATGTTTCTAAATCTATTTAGTTATGATGCCCATGTGCTTATTAATTTTTGTCAAGCAATTGCAGTTCTGGTACTTCTTTATCTGCTTCTTAAATACAACAAACACCAGAGAAGCTGATAGATGCATCGGAACCATAATAACTCCTAAAACGTTGTATTAAAATGGATTTTCTTTTGTCCAATCTGTGCGGTTTAAATATAAGAGGGGATGTACAGTAAACAATCTTACCTTTATAAGAAAAGTTTTAGTTCTTTAAGTCGCTGGGGAATATTTAGCAAAGAATTTTCTGGAGTTTATCAGGGATAGACTGGACTTTGTTTTTACTTTTTCAACAATAGATTAACAGAGAGAAGTGTGCCTCTGATTGATGCCCATATTTAAATTAAGATATTATGCTTGTGTGTGTGGAAAAGTTAATCTGTGATGAAGAGTAAACTGTTCACTAACCAACAGCAATAATTAAGACCTATTATTTGACTGAAATTACATTAAGCTAAATCTAAACAAATCAGCAGACGTGCACATTACCTATCTATTATGAGGTGCCCCCAGGGACATAAATCAGAATTAACTTGCATATACACATATTAAATTACAC